AAGTCAAGTTTTTGTTTGAAGAGAGTGTAGACAAGAGGGAGGGGATAGGAACGACTCCTGAGAGACTTCTCAGGGTGTTTTAAAAAGAGTGGTAAGACTATTACTAACAGAAAAGCTAGAGAAGCTTTTTCGTAAGTCTTTTTTGTGTGTGGTCAGAGGATCATCAGAAAGAGATGTTTAATTTATGTGTATAATTTATATTTATTTATCATTTAATGTTTTAATATTTATAAATATCTTTCTTAAAGAATTTTGGATTTTTAAAAGAATTATTTTTAAAGTATTTTTTTTAATCACCAATGACATTATTAAAATATGTGAATATAATCAATAGAAGTTTGTTTATATTTTAAAAATAAAATTTTTCAGAAAATCATGAAAGTGAAAATTTTAAAAAGATTAAAATTGTAAAAAGGAGAGAGAATAAGTTTTTTAATGCAAAAAATTTTATAAATCTTTTGTTTCAAAAAATTAGAAAAATTTTAAAGTATTTTATAATTAATTTTTTTTTTCTAATTTCTCTTGATTATTAAAAATTAAGTTTTTGAGTAAAAAGATTTATAAACAATGGAAAAAGAATGAAAATGTTTTTTGAAATCATGCTTCAAATTAGTTTAAGAAAAATATTATGACTTTATTAACAAAGAAATATAATTAAAGAATTAGTGAAAAAAAATTGTTTAATAAAATCTTATAATTAATCATATTATTTTATTGCAATATGATACTGTATATGTAATATTTTATTTATTTATTTGTTAATATTGATATAATTTTAAAAAAAAAAAATTATAAAAGTTAATTTTTATATGAATGGTTGAAAAAAAATATATTTATTGATTTAAAATTTGATTTCAAGAATGGCATATAGTAGTAATGAAATCATTCCCAGTGTTATATCTAAAGTTAGTTAACATTAATAGGTGTGTTGATTAGGACAGAGCATACTGTATATAGCTAACAAATGTCTAATGAAGTAACCTTTTCAGCCAGACGGCGGGTATAACACCATTCGTTAAAATTAGGAGAAATCTTGTTTCTTGAGAAAAAAATTTTTTTTTTTTTTGCACTATAACTAATAATGACCAAAGTGTTTACATACAATGCAACATCAGCCGTCAGTTGTTATCTTTGATGCACGAGATTCGTGTAGCCCATCCTATTTGTTTGTGCATTCAAGTAGTACCACCCACACATTACCGTAATATATTAAGAAAATCAACAATGATGTAATGATTATTCGTAAGGTCCTGGAACCGTTACGCAATTCGGTCTGGTCCGTTCGAACTGACATGTATCATGGTGATAGTGATTTGCATTTGCGCACCTATTACACAGAAAGGTCCTTCAAACCATCAAACCAATCATTCTTATAACTTTACATGCGCCTAAGCAACAAGCAAATTATTGCTCGACAAGTCCGCATCTCACCTGTGCGAGTGGTTAGTATGGAGGTTACTTGCCGCATTTGGAACCAATCCACGAAGGCTTGCTAAGGTGGCGTGATGTGCGCACAGTGGAATTATTGACGCAACTTTTATATCACTGCGTTTAGGAATTTACGCGCCTCTTTCTCCGCTTCGTAACAAGAAATCTGCTGATTCGAGATCACAATGCGATTTTTTTCGGAGATCAGCATACATAATAAATGGTCACAAGAGGCAATTACAAAGGTGGGAAAAATGCATCAATAGAAAAATTTTCCAGTGTCCGACTTTATACGCGTTTAGTCATCATTGCAGACACTTAATCCTTAAAATTCCTTATTACCCATGTGGTTCTCATTCAGATCGAACAACTGGAATTCAAAAACAAAATAATTTTTAAACACAGAATCTCCTTCGTCCGTTCTAAAAATACACGACGCTTTATTTAGCATGTGCATAGGAATTTTTTTGGCCGTATCACACCATTGAAATCTGCTCTTGCTCCTCTCATTATTTGCACATGCGTATACAAAGGTTTGCCCGCACATCAAACCACTAGAATTTCGAACTGAACTTAATATGGGCAGGCTATTGACAGATATATATACATATACAAGGAATTAATCGTGTTACCAACACGAATGTCGCCTTGGAATTGCCACCACAAGGGAACTGCCGACGCTTCGCAAAGTGTCATTGTCCGACCATTTCATCCTAAAAACAAGGAGAAGAACTTCCAACAGAGATCTGAAACAAGGAGAAAATAGCTTAAAAAATTAAAATGCTCTCCTTCTAAAAAAGAAAATAGTTGGGACGTTTTGTTTGTTTCGCGACATGATATTATAATACGTCTTTGAATCTCGAGGGCAGCATCGCATTTAATGTTTTCGATAAACAATCATGCCGTGCGATCAACGTGGCAAATGTTACTTTCTTTTGATGGGAATTCAGATCCCTTTTTTGATTCTAACGCTGCCTGACGTAACGAAACCAAACTTTTTTCATTGACAATCTTCGCCTTCTGTGCCTTAGCGGGCAAACAAATTTCTGATCGCAAAATAATAATAATTAATAATAATAAACGAAATATTTATTTATTTATTAATTTATTTTCGAATTGAAGTACATTTTACAAAAGCACGTTTTTTTTAAAGTACGATTTGCCGTGCCCCGTCACGACATCCATTGTTATTATATTTGATTGAATCGTTACAAACGTTGGTCAAGGTGAGCGCATGCAAGCGTGTTTTCCAATTCTTATTGATGGCGATGGTGAAAATAATAAAGACGATGCGATACGCAACCATCCACAAACTATTCTTGACACCAACGCGTTACTTAATAAAGAATAATTAAAAAAATTTTTTTATCGTGTGATTTTTCTTTTTGGTCCTTGAGGAGAATCGAATTAGATTTTGATATAAATATAACCGAGAAAGGAACTGCCCTCTCTCTTCCGTTCGAATTACCGCTGGTACTTATGTTATGCTTAATTAATAATAAGAGTATACGATGTATGCTTAAAAAAAAGTAAGATACGCTTAAGGTTTACCGGCTAATGTAAAGAATCTTGGTGGTTGTTGGCGTTGTTAAAAAGTCGGATAAATAGTAAATAATAATGATGTTAATCATAAACTTCTCTCTCTCGTTCCTTTAGATATGTTTGCTAAATATCGAAGAGGGAATGTGATATATATATTTTCTTTTTTTTTTTCTTCATTCAAATGTAGGTGATCTGGTTGATTGATAGTGGATCAAAGGAGTAGGATGCGCCGTCGTAAAAACATAGAGGGTTGGGCGTTGGTGGTTGGAATATCATTGATTGCGCCTCGGAGAAATTTGAATCTTGTCTCGAATTGTTGTCGTCGTTGGTGAAAAAACCTGTCATCGTCGTCGTCATGTTGCCGGGACTCGCGGCAGGAGTCATTGGACCCGAAAAAATGGGGTTCTGGTAGACTTCTGGTGATGTCGAGTTTTGCCTGGCGATAATCGCCGAAACGTTGTTAAAATCGGGGGGAGGAGGCATGGATACGCCTATCGATCCAAACGGGGCGCCGATTTGCGAGGATACCGATTGCACAAAAGGTAGTGACGAAAAATTCTTTATCGTTTGAGCGGGTGTGGAGGGCGTGGTGGTTGGAGGTGTCAACATGGGAATGTTGTTGCTATTGCCGTTATTGACCCTTTGGATGGTGTTACCGGCCGAGTTCGATGTGACATCGGTGGCAGCGGCGGTGGAGGCTTCCGATGTCATTATAATGGTTTCATTCTTGATTTTTGACTGTTTGTTTTTAATTTGTAGCCAGCGGGTACGACATTGTCTCTGTTTCGTTCGCAAGAATGAATTGAGAAGAGTTAGAACGCACGTGTGTATGCCTGACGCGCAAAAAAGATCAAACCCGCCAACGCGTACCTGAGTTCTACCATCAATCATCTCCGCAATACGAATCCAGCATCTTCCGTAGATGCTGACGCCCTCCTTCAAAATTTCGTCTTCTTTGGGTGACCATTTGCCTTTCTTGATATGCGGGTCCAACGCCTCAGTCCACCGAGCCTGACATTGAGCACCGGTTCTCTGAGGAATGCGTTTTGAGATCTTGTTCCAGGGGATCGGCTGCGGATTGTTCTGAGAGTCGACGGCGTTGATGTATTGCTGAACTGTTTCGGTGAGCACGGCATCCTCTTGTGCGGTCCAACGACCTTTAAGGATGGAAGGATTCAAGGCACCCACCCAGCGCGCCGAACACTGCATCGGTGTCCTGTTTGGGACATTGGTCGCCACCAGTGACCACTTATGCGGACCGTAGATGCTCACTGCCGCGCGCAGTAATTCATCTTCTCTTTCTGTCCACTTGGTGTAGACCGGAGGTTTCTGGTTTACCAGGTTAGGCAGAGCTTTCTGTGTAGATGGAGGGGGAGATGACTTTGTTGCATGTTTGATGAAGGAGTTATCGGATTCTGGTGCCTTTAAAAATATATGTATAAAGAGAGAGAGGGAGGGAGAGATATTTAGTATATGGTATGAATTAAAAAAATTATGAAAAAAAAAAAAAAACCAATAGTGTGAAATTGGAATTAATTTGGCTATTATTGATTTATTTATTTTATGCAAAAGTATTATTGTTTATTCACATTTTAAGTAATTTCAGTAATAAAGAATAAATATATATGCATATGAAACAATAATTACCCGTTCCACTTTGACATCACTTGCGTGACTGTGACTGTGATTGTGATTGTTGCCAGGTACCTGAGCAACTTTCTGAGATGAATTCTCAACCTCTGGACGGGGAACCAACGATTGGGCAAGTGTCGTGGATTGATTTTTGGACAAGGCGTCGTGACAAGGGATGTAGGAATGAAACGAATGAGACTAAAATTGGATTGATTTTATTGGGAATGGTTTTGTTATTAGGTCGCACTCTTCTTGAACGGAGAAAGGGAAGGAAGAAAGAAGAAAAGAAAGATATTATGAAGGTGCTAGTTTATCATCTGTAACCAACTCGTTTAAAAAGCGGAGGACTACATGACGTGAAGAAAACTAGCATTTCCGAAAACTCACCTGTGAACCTTCTTGACCGACATTGTGAGAGGTCGCCGTATCAACCTGCTTGCGAAGAGGAAAAAAAAAAAAAAAAAAAAAAAATCAATTTTCCTTTTCTCTCCTTTTTTTCTCTCTCTTTCTCTTCTCTTCTTCTCCCTCTCTTTCTTCAATTGAGGTTGAAATTTCCAATTGGGCACCGGGAAATCTAATTGAACTCACTCACCGAGCAAAAATTTGTGACAAACATGCTTTGTCCTTGATCGTTGGTTGGTAATTGGTGTGCTTGCAGATTGAGACTCTGGGCGCCTAAGGATTCAAGTGACTAGATTTAAAGACAGCAATGAATCATATGAAAAAGACTGGGGAGAGACGAATGCGATTCACGTAAGGAGACATCGTTCATTCTTACCAAATCATTCTGAAAAGTGGTGGCGGCGGTGGTGGTGGTGGCGGCGATAGGTGTCTGCGTGAATCAGATGGGTGAATGAGGTTGTGTGTGTGACTTTCGTTACCGAAGCGAATTGAATTTTTTCTAGGACATACTCTTACCTGGTGGAATGGATAGAAGTGGACTGTGTTTTGCACCTCCAGCTCATGTCCAGATTGATACTGTGGCGAGGAATGAAGAGATCGTTAATTTTGAATCCTTTCTTAAAAAGAGTAAAGATAAACATACATCGTCGGTCTGACGACTGGTAGCTGTGACATTTTTGCTATTATCAAATATGTACGGAATCTGAATCATTGAAGGAGAGATAGTTGCAGAGGAGGTTTTTAAGAAAAATTGATCGCGTATCTTAGATGTGGTGGCAGATATTCTATTTATACCAGATCTGAGCTCTTTGTATGACAAACACTGTGTAGCACACCGGGTATATATGTTTAATTTATGTACAGAGGGGTGTGATTATTGAGAGCATAACACGACCTCTCCATTCTGTTTCGTATCGTTACCTCTAATTTACCTGTGCTTCCATGATCATTCGTGAAAGAATTGCGAAAGAAGCGGAGTTGGATCAATTTTGGTAACCACATAGCCATTCTTCGGGCATCAACGAATCGATCGGTCGACGGATTATCGCACGTAGCTAATTAATCTTGGCAAACGGGTGGTGGTGGTGGTCAATTGAGTTGTCCTTCCGTCCGTTCGCCGACAATTCGTCTGCACGGGAAGTCACATTCCGAGCGGAAAGAAGGAGAAGAAGAGACAGAGAAGAAGGAGAAGGAGAAAAAAAAAAAAAAAGGAACAGCCAACAAGAGAGAACAGGTAAACGAATGACCTTACGTAATGTTGGTCCCGCGCAAATTTTTTTGACCGTGATGCAAGGGGTGACTTCATCGTGCATATCTTCATAAACAAGTAAGTCAGATAAATTGGGGGATCATTTTTGTTGGCCAGAGTTTATAATTTCATGCATCGCATTCGAAGAAGCTTCATCAAATGTCAAGAATTCTCCGACCACATTCCTTCTCGTGATGGGTTCTGAGACGGCAACGCCAATCCATGGTTTCACTGCAATCTCGGTGTTTTCAAAGGGAGAAACGTCGCGCGTCCAATTCCAACGGCACAACAATATAAGAATATGATTATTACGATAATACAGTATATTACAGTATATAATAATAAAAAGGTGCATTTAGTGTTGATAGTATAATTCGACCATTCATATTTTAATAAAATTCTCGAAAAGATTGGGATCTGCACAACGATCGCGCATTCAAGGCATTCCTTTTGCGACTGTGTAAATTTTCTGCATTAGTCAATTCATGCAGGCGGGTAGTGAGGAAATCCAACAAGGAAAAGTCGAGGCATGATTCTTGTGCGAAGGAGAAATGTTTGGAATAATAATCACCTTCCAATAAACGTAAAACCAAATGCAAATAAAACCGAATTCCCTTCGGAAAAGGTGTGAACGTTGACATCACCAAATTTATAGAAAATTGAAAATTTCCAAATGCGGACGGTGTATGAATTCGGTTGAAATGTTTTTGCATGCATTCCAACTAACATGCACACACAAATTCCCGCACGGTAGCATAGGCAATTCGACGAGCGGAATTTCGTATCGACATCGTGGACGATGGTGATGGATGGATCAAATGCAACCAAATGTCCGATTAAACATTCACCGCGTTGAGCCTATTCCCATTATTCATGTGTTCCCTCTTTGCGAGAGAATCTGTTTGTTTAATTATCGGGTGAACGAGTTTTTTTTTAATAAATAAAATACACAACCATATGTGTACACATGCAGTACACACGGCATATATACTGCATATATACTGTATATACTGTATATGTATGCATATGATATTACGTGATTATATAAGAAATTTGAATTGAAATTCCCACAATTGTCTGCAAACACCAATAACAGGTACTACCTGTGCACATAAAAACCTCTGTCCAAAAGGAAACGAAAGGCACGCTTGAAGTTAATTCCATACTGCTTGGCAATCAAGTTGGGTGACACGGGGAGGATCGATTTGGTAAGGTTCACCGGGGGATGGATAATGCGGACCTAATTCCAGAACTCTCAGGGATCGTGATCAAGGGAACTAATATATATATATATATTATATATTCTTTTTAGGAATTGGATTCCCGTTGATTGGCCTTCTGGCTCGAGCCTCGCGTGAAAACCAATCGACGTTCGATCAAGCCATTCGGATCACGAGACCAAAATTGAACCCAACACCCTATACGTAGGTAAATTAAAAATTTTGTGACGATACAACAAACAAAACAAAAACAGAATATTACCTTATTTAAAATATACGGCAGCACAAAAATTTTTTTCCGATAATCAGATAAGACGAAAATGGTTTGATGCTATGGTCTTTTTAAGATATGAAACGGTAAAAAAAAGTCGAACAAATCCCTGAATGCTGGCGAAAATGGAAGGCAATGAGGTAATAACATCAGGTTCCCAAGGAAATACCGTATAAATGCCAAGACCGATTGTAATTTGAGAAAGAATCATCACAGCTGTGTTTGTCTGACAAATTTGCCGGATGTACAATAAGAAGTCAAGTCATTTCTTCGAATGGACGTAGGCGCCGTCCGTCTGTCTTCACGGTGATTGGGAAATTCGTGAATTTGCAAGATGGGAAGAGCATGGGCGTAATGACGATAACGATAAAATTCATCCATGACACAAATCACGTGAGTTTGGGCACGTGAAAAATTGGGCATCGGGGAAGTCACGGTGGTCGAACCTTTCTCACCACCTTGACATTTGAAGTCAAGAGGTGACGATCGCGTTCGAAATGTTCCAACCCAAATTTGGACGCGAGGGCGAAATCTGCCGTTTGAATTTTTAGCGAACCGACGTCCGTGTTGGCATTGCGGGGGGAGGGAGAAGGTCCAAACATGGGAAAACCAATGGACTCTGCCTGTGGAAATCACGTGCTGCTTACATCGTGCGAAGAGTGTTGCGATGGGCGCGGAATGCGCAAGGCTCGATGCACTCACCGAGCTTCGCAAAATGGACCGATGCGAGATTATTATTTATCATTATATTTATTATATGCATTATCGGTAATTACGGTGACGATTAATTACTTATTTGTTTATTCGAAATTTCATGTTATAGCTCGTGATGAATTCTCGTTTGATTGGTCAAGGTGGTCTCACCATAATTATGCCAGTTAGATGTTATCAGGGAAATTTTTTGGTGGACAACAAATTGGACATTTGCACGACAGTTGAGCATGTAACTGGAAATTTTTATTTTAATATTTTATGTTTACGCGGCGGATTTTTTTTTTTTTTTTTTTTTTTCACCTTTCCTTTTTCCCTGACCTACACAAATTAGATGCTGCATTGTTTGCGATCACAAAAAATTTAATTTAATAAGTGACAGTAGATGACCATTTAAAATCACCGCTCGGCATTGAAATACATAAAGATACAGGAAACTTTGTTTTTTTTTACTTTTTAGGGGGAATGTGAAATCTGTTGTTGTTGTTGTTTTTTAAACAATATGAGGTGAAATCTGTGTCCCTCATTATAAACAAAAGAGAAGATGACTTGTCACCTACCTCGCAAGCGTAGACCAAAACATCCAAATTCCCAGCCCCCACCCCTAACCATTTTTTGAGATCAATCGATTAATTCGGAAATTCATTGGCTAAGCCTCTAAATGACGCAGGTTTAAAAAAAAATAATTTTTTTTTGGAATTTCTCATGCTCACAATGAAATGAATCTGATAAACCTTGAATTCATTTATTTGTTCAACAATCAATCAATTTTAAAGGGCGTGAAGTGATCGATCCTTACTTTTTAACGGCTTACCATTTGATTATCAGATTACACTGGATCAAAATGTTGCGTAATTATTTGGTGTTTATGATGCATTTGAATTACGTAACTGAAATTAAATTAAAGAAATTGAATTTTATTTGGTCGTGTCAAGGTTAATATAATAATATTAGTTGAGGCACTGTAGGTAATGAAATACGCACGCACATAATCATCTAGGGATAATATAAATAAACAAGACTTGTACGCGTAAACAAAAATATTTTCCAGAAGTTGCACACACCTTAATTGGAATGGCCGATAGGTATCGTATTAAACTCATAGTTGTGTAATACGCAGTCAATAATGGTTGTGATGTAGGCTAATTCATAGTGCGGGGTGCGCTAGTATGTATTGGGTGGTAGACCGTACGAAATTAGAATAGCCTCTATGTATTGGGTGGTAGACCGTACGAAATTAGAATA